ATGTGAGAAAAAAAATGATTGAAAAATGTATTGATCATGCAAACAAATAAAATTTGGCAAATAATCACTATCCAAACAAACCCATTATTATTGGTCGAATAACATGTCCAATAAACTAGAAGCATGTTAAATCAACTCTATTAAAAAACAATCACTATTAGCATGCTTGGAGATTTTAATTTGCAAACGCTCTATAGCCAAAAATCATGGAAAGTATTAAATTACGGGTCGGTTTGATTGAACCAAAAACATTTTGAAGAAAATATTTTCTCAGTTTTCTAGTGTTTGGTTGCATTAAATATTCAAAAAACTTTTTCTCGTCGAAAATAATTTACACCATCCTATGTAAAACAACTTTACCACACAACTACTGAAGTTATTTTCCTGACTTGCTAGCCACAACAATGCATCGTTCTTTCCCATACAAATTTGGGACTAACTTACTTATGATACTCCCTCCATCCCACATTGATAGTTTTGTTTTTCTCTTTCATCGGTCCAAAATTATAATTCACCTTCCAATTTAAGAATATAGTTAACTTATAACTTTTTTAAAATGCCCTAATTTAATGTAATTTGATATGTAAGTATAACTTACCTTATTCATTAATTGCTTGGATTTGTGCCTTGAATAGTACAACTTTCCATAGTATTATTATTGTAATTAATGTAAATGTATAGTGATTTGTCATATTCCTAATACTAATGTATGGGTATTTTAAGAAAATAGTAAGTTAGATTTACTCCTCTAACAAAGTTAACTAATTTTTTTTTAAATTGCTCCTCAAATCTTTGTTGGCACATAATTACAATGCTTCTTCCTTGATTTTATTTCAATCTTCATGGATGCCATTGATATCTTTCTCTGGAACACAATCTTGAGAAAGGTAAGCAACTGCCTTTTTACTAGCAAACCCACGACCACTGACCTCCCTCAATTCCTATATTAATCCTAACTCTCCATAAACACATATGAATTTGGTTATGATGAGTGGAACTACAGAAAATTGACATGGGGGTGAAGAACGTGATTGCTGAAGAAGAGAAAGAAAATAAGAAAGGGAGAATTTTCAGAAAAGGCACTTTGAGGTCAATAATCGTTCCCAACTTTACTTCTATAATTTGAAATTTTTATAACTGCACTTTGAGGGCAAAATAGACTTGTAGAACTTGAGTTGATTATGCTGTTGTGGTTATTGAATGCATCACTAATCTGATTATAGTGTTGTTTTGAATTACATTGTTCATGATTACTGATATGTTTTCTTCTTGGTCTAAAAATGAAGGTCGCGGTAGTAAAAAGACGGTGAATTATGGTTGTTTATGAAAGATGCGGATGGTAAAGAAATGGTGGATTCAAGGTAATTATGGTGGAGAAGATTGATGACATAAGAGTTGTCACTTTGTAAGAAGATGTATGTTGGCTATTAAATGGTGGATATTACTGAAAATAAAACTTTGAAAAATCAAACAAACACTTGAAAATCATGGACACTTGAAGGATTTGGCCCAAGACAAATGTTTTGTGTACCATTTTAGAGAAAATATTGATAAAATTTCCACTCATTTTTGCTTGCCAATGAGCTACTTGTGGATCAATTTCTTCTTTGCTTGCATTTTTTAAAGGTAACCCTTATTCAAAATGAAAAGCCCAAAAAATACTTCACTTCTGTATTTTCAACTCATATGGGATATTTGTTGCTATGAAAGTAGAAAGGGAAAGAAACAAATAGTAAAAAGAAGAAAAGTTAGAAGGTTCGGCAAATGACAAGTAAGAAATGTCAGTTAAGTTAGCTGTAATATAAGAAGAAAAATTTTAGAAATTTATTAATGTATACTTCCTTTCGATGTAGAGGATTATCTTGACCTTCTCACCCTTAGAATCCAAATATGTAATTACCATAGAGTCCTAGGACCAAAAAGAAATAGAGAAAATTGCATAAATCGTTTCTCACATATTACTGATATTAAAATTTAGTCCTCAAAATGAAAATGATCAATTTTAGTCCCTTAAACATAAAAAGCGATTGATTTTGGTCCTCTGATTCCTTTTTTGGTCAATTTTAATCAGAATTTCCACGAACCCTTCTCGTGCTCCATATTTTAAGGGTAAATTTGACAAATCAATTATTACATTGACTTCAAACGTAAAGGGCATATTCCATTCCTATTTTCTAAATTGGGGCTTCTTCTTCACTGTAACAATCCAATTTTCATCCTTATAGCATCAGAGCAAATCTAAAGAATTCAATTTTCCAAGACAATTCCAATTTGTGATTGAATTCACCTTTAGGTAGCCATCTGAAGTAGGGGTCCTCTTACTCAGCTAGTAATGGATGCCACTCTTCTTACTTGCAGCTTCAAAGTCCTAATCATGATTATGACTACAACAGTACTTTTAGATAGCAAAGGCAAGCTAGCCAACAATAGTAGCAGCAATATTGTGGATTAGTGATAGAGATTATCATCAGAACAAGAAAGTATGCACCATTTCTTCGATGAATGGCCTTCCAAGGATAACAAAGTTTCATGTTGGTTTGATAACAATGATCATCATGATGATCATACACTATCAAAAATCCATCTTTCAATTTCCACGCCAAATGCTTCTTCACATTATGTCTTCTTCATGATGCGAAATGGTACATCATGAAATAATTGAACTTACCATGCTAGCTAGCTACAGTTTCTTTAATTAGTACTACTAATTAGTAAGTATTAATTTTGAAGTACTGATTACTACACTAGCAAGTAATAGTAGTATCAGTAGTACTATCTATTTCTTGATGACCAAATTCTTTTTTGACCCCCTCTCATCTGCACTTTGGTTTTGCAAAAAAATGAGGTCTGGATAGTGGATTTTTTATTCAAAAGGCCAAAAATGTGCTTAAAATGGTGTGCGGTTGGTGAATTCTCTGTTCTACCTTTTTGTACATGGATATGTAGTTGAGGTCTGATAATTGTTATTTTTTCAATTTACAACTTCGTACTGAACTTTTATTCTCAAGAAATAGAGGTGTCATAAGTCTAGTATTACTAGTTTTCTCTATTCTACATCTCCCCTCCTTCTTTTAAACATGTAAATTTTTCTTGGGTATTACATGTTTGGATGTTTGATTTAGGTTTATAAGCATATGGGTTTTTGCCACATGTTTTTATGTCTTGTTCGCAGGTGGACTTAAAAATCGCTGCTTTTTCTCACAATTACCTTCAGACACTAGCTCACTCTAGAAGAGTTTTGGGTCATTGTAGCCAACTAGTGATTTTGGGGGAGTCAAGTCCTAGATTTGGAGAATAGGGATAAAATAGGTCCATTACATTTGAAGTTAACACAATAACTAATTAGCCAAATTTACTCTTAAAAGCACGTGGTGGTCCACGGCTAATTCCAATTAGAATTGGCTAGAAAAGACATCAGAGGACCAAAATTAATCGCTTTTTCTGTTTGAGGCACTAAAATCACTTGTTTTTATTTTGAGGGGCTAAATTTTAACATCTGTAATATTTGACGAATGATTTATGCAATTTTCCAAAGAAAAAATGCATGAAATGAATTAAGCATGGAAAGAATTTCTCTCTCTATTAGAACTCCTTCTTACTCTAGTAGTGAGACTTTTCCCCCTAGGTGGGAGAATGCAACTTTCAAAATTTTTTCAAAAAAAAAATATCTTCAAAATTTCAATATTTTTTTAAAAATTATCAATTGTCCAGATCCCATGTATATTTTAGTATCTAGAATGCTTATTTCCAATTATGGGTAGAATCTTGAAGATTGAGACTCTGTTTGATAACCCAATTCAGCACTTAAACTTTATTAATTCAGATCTTAACATATTCAAACCGTTTGATAACAAAAAATTGAACATCTGAATTAATTAAGTAGTACTAAATTTCCTAGGCAAAACTTGTTCCCAAAATTAAGTAATAAACTATTCACTTATCACTGAATATGATATGCACTCAAATGTATTAGATTTAATACTTAACAATTCAATAATTTAAAGGATTCAAACTTCATATTTCAGATTTCAAACTTTAATTTTATCAAATGCACCCTGAGTTTGATTTCTCTATTATGACCATTCTATTCACCAGTTGACACCTTAACATCAACATTGATTGTTCCAAGACACTTGCTTTCAAGATTGGTATCTCAACATCAATATTGCTTTCATTTTCAATTGAGACTGATGATTTTACAAACACATAGAGAATGAGGTGCCAATCTAGCTAGACAGAAATAATCCTATCGCAAGGCAAGTAGCAAATGTATTTACCAAACACATAGGTTCAACCATTACGAAATTTACAAAACACGGTACATTTATTACTTTCATTATTAATACAATGAGTTAAATCTACAGAGCCTGCATTTACTGACTATAACTGATTTGATCACTCGGATGAATGCTATTGCCTAAGAAGAAGAATTGAAAGACTCTTGTCCATAAATGCTGCTCAATTGCAAAAGGTTGATAATCAGGTATACTCGACATACAAAACCAGATTCATTGACAATTATCTATAATTGCTAATATCTATCTATCTCACATGAACAAAACATGTATTTGTTCCACCACATAACTCAGGCTATTCAGGACAAGAAACTGCTTTATTACATAAAAAAAAAATGCCCACGTGAAAAAGTAATCAAAGTAATAATTCATAATATAGTCACAAGTTACACCACTGAAGAGCTTGCAATACCATTTTTGACCTTTCAATTCTTTTACTTTTTTCCCTTCCAATTATTTCTTATTTTATTTTCAAGAAAATATCGCAAGATGAATTTGTGACATGATTAATGATTATTAATTGGAATTTGTAACACATGGCATCATACAAAAAGATCGAAATTAGTTTTTGATTTTTTTTTTTAACAAACGATAACATTTTATAAATATTAACACTTGATAGCACAAGAGCTAATTGTAAAAAGGGGTAACTACCCCCATATCTTTTCTAGCTAAACCAGATAGCCATGTTGGGAATGAACCTTCCTACTCTATATTTCTAATTGACTTGACTGCCAATTGAGCCATTGCATGGCTGCAACCATTAGTAGTTCTGGGCACAAAAGAGAAATTGCAACTGTCAAAGCTCTTCTTCAAGATATCAATGTCTTCCAGGATTGTTTGTAGTGTGCAATCCTGAACATTGTCCGGATTGATAAGGCTCACAACATTTTTGCAGTCAGATTGGACTTCAATGTTTGTCCATCGTGCACCCTGAGCCATTTCCAGTGCACCTCTGATTGCTAGTGTTTCCTCAGTGGCTGCTTCCCCTCTCCTCCTCTCAGTGATTCCCTTAGCTTTCACTATCTCCCCACGCCAATTCCTCGTGATAATCCCCAATCTTGTTCTGACCATTTGAGCTGAAATTGCTGCATCCGTATTGATCCTCATTATTTCTTCCTTAGGTGGCTCCCACCGTTGCTGAATCTGTCCTTCCATTTCCAGAGGTGCATTTGCTCGTGTGTCTGACTCATTCGCTGCATCATACTTGATCCATTCCTGTTGAGCTTTGTCCACTATCATCTTTGCATCCACATTCTTAGTCTAGAATGTCATTTTGTTTCTAGCTTTCCAAAGTTGCCATCAGATGTTAACCGTGAGCCTGATTCTGTCTACGCCTTGTGTTTCCCTTGCTGCTTGCATCACGGCATCCCACCATCTCCACATATTACCTTGCAAATCAGCTAGCCCCTCCCACCTCACAGGGGCCAACTTCCATACCACTTGTGCTTTTGGGCAAAAAAAGAAAATGTGCTCAATGGTTTCAGCTTCCTCCCCACAACATTGACATATAGTGCTTCCCTTTCCAAATCTCTTGTAAAGTGCTTCGCTAGTGGCCAGTCCATTCTGCAAACATCTCCATAAAAAATGTTTCAGTTTCATCTTTATGTTAAGACTCCACAATTTTTTCCATATCGTATGCTTTCTTACTTCCCAACTAGTTTCTGAGTCAGGTGCTAGCCTACGGTTCATGCTGTCTCTTTCTCTCTTTGCAACAACATATCCTGTCTTAACTGTGTATACCCTAGATTTGCTATATTTCCAAAACAATCTTTCCTTTCTATCATATAAACTAAGGGGGATGTTAGCTATATGTTCCACATCATCTGCTTTAAACCATTGGTGTAGGGATTCTGTCTTCCACCTTCCACCCTCTATTAGTTCATTTATGTATTCAATCTGGCAATCTGTTGGCTTTGCAGTTGAAACTCTTCCATTCACCGTGCCAGGTATCCACCTGTCTTGCCAAATCTTCACTGACCTCCCATCTCCCAGTCTCTTCCATAGTCCCATTCTCTCGAAATTAGTTTTTGATACCTTTCAAAGTTTCACTCATAAACCCAATTACAATCCCGAGATAAAGTTTCTACTTAGATGAAGTTTTCTGTTAAGAAAGATGGAAGAGAGAAGAAAGAAAAAATAGAAAAAGAAGTAAACGAGAGAAAAGAGGGGAAACAAAAAAGAAAAAAGAAAAGTCAAAATAATAGAAGGGTAATTTTGTCCTATTGGGGTTTGAGTGATAAAAATTAAATGTCAAGAGGTAAAGTGAAAAATGAGGAATACTTTAAGGAATTGATTGTAATTAACCCTTAAAAAATTATCGATAAATTTTCTCCTTTTCCCCCATTGCATACGAATAGTAGTATACAAAACTGCAATACAGAAGGAAGACTATCGTTCGTTCTCCTTACCCAAGGAGAACTCACTCCTTAAATTTTCTTTTAAGACAAGTAAGTTCCATCCTCTGTTTATAAATAACAAGAACTCAGAACTCTAACTCAAGGATATATTTGCTTAGATTTTCCAAATTAATTTCCACTAAGGATGTAATCGAGTTGAGTTGAACTTGAATATCACCATACTCAAACTTGACTTGACATGTAGAAAGGATACTCGAGTTCGAGTTCAATGCATTGCTCACAAAACTCAAGGTCGACTCACATGGAGTTCGAGTCAATGCAAGTCTTATTGAGCTCAAGTAATGATTGAACTCGATCCTGTGGCCTGCTATAATTTCTTGTTCAAACCTACAAAAATGTCCCTGGCGTCCAGTCTAGCAACAATGAAGCCAAGTAGAATTAACGTATATACTATAATAGAAATAGAAATGGGATGTGATGGGCACAATTATACACTTAAGAAGCTAAAACTACTGCCAGGTTGCCCAATTAACCAAGTTCAAGTATAGAACAACAGCAATGAGCAAATCACTATTAAAAGTCTTGGTGGAAGTATGTGGACATAGCTAAGAACTCGTTTTTCCAGCTTCCAATTTTGATCAATCTAGTGGCTAGTGAGCACCATGTACTCGATCTTCTAGTTTTTAGACTTTCACATATCTGTTGTGAGGCTCATTTTGCCAACACACATCAAGTGGTTCTTCAACTTCTTTTTCTCCAACTCGTAAACTTGGACACAATTATTCTTTCCTGTAACTCATGAGATCTTAATCCACTCAGGCATTGCTTGTTTCATCATTAGGTTGAATCCCTTTTCCTCTAAAATGTTGAAGGGATGCTCGTGCATCAGAATCCAGTGGGCAACTGCTTCCAGCATTTTTTCCATGTCCACTTGACCCAAATGCAAGGGTGGAACTGCTTGTAAATTAGAATTAGAAGGCTGAAAATTTAACTTTGTTTGTTGCTCCTCTCTAATCTTTGCTTTTCTAGTTAGGCAAGAGCTCCAATGCCTCCACTTACTCGTGGTTTGTTTAGTTTTGCCTCGGGATAATTTCTTGTTGCAATGTGAGGAAATGGCATAATAATGATCATTTTCATCGAATTCCTTGTAGTCGTCCTAGGCCTCAAATGTCTTGGTTCTTTTGGGAATGCGAAATTCATCATCTCCTTCAATTAGGTCATTGATTATGAATTATTTTCAGCTCTCCTATCTCTCACAAATGCTCCCTCGTCACTCAAAGCATCTGTCTCAGCTCCCACAGCTCCCTCATTCTCAGTACTCATAAAAATTGGGTTATCTAGTTGTAGTGGAGTGGCAGAATCAGTAGCTTGCAAACAAGCACGTGGGATGGATAATACATCAAGTGGACTGATTCCGATACCTATGGCTTTGATAGCAATGAAGGAAATTCAATGAATTCTCACTTAACTGTTGAATAGAGCCATATAGGTTTTAGTTTCTAGTTTTAATTATATGGAGCATCATTGTCATTCTAGTTTTAGTTTCTAGCTTTAACTAGTTTTAGTTTCTAGTTTTAGTTTATAGTTTTAACTTTCAATTGTATATTAGAAAGACAATATTTTGACTATATATTAGTAAGATATTTAGTGTAGTTCAGTTTTAGTTTCATTGCTGCTATTTTAAATGCTCTACACCAGGGAAGAAGAACAAATAAAAAAGGAAAAAAAAATAGGAATTTGCCTCATTGGTCATAAACACTTAGACCAATACTTCTCTTGGTTGAAAAGTAAAACTAATACAAGACGCATTTCTCAATTGATGTAAGCACTAATGGAGACATAAGACTTAAAAAATAGTGGTTTAAGGTTAACTTACCTCCTCTTGCAGCTGTGGTACCTAATATTGAAATGCTTGTCAAAGGAGCCGAGGTATTTTCCATTTTTTTCGATTGGTATTCACACCTTCCTCAAGCTATATGGATTCCTACAACACAAGTTCCTATCCACAATCCAAATGCCTTATGCAACTTTATTTGACTATCTCTGTTCCTCCTTGCAGTTTCCTACAACATTATCCATCAATATAAAAACTCTTAATAACTAATATCTAGATTCTAGAAGCAATAACTAAGAGTCTAAGACCAACATTATTTGACTTACATGGTTTCCATAATACATGCTCATTTTGACCTCTTCAAATTTCAATAATTTTCATCTTATCCCTGTAACTTCTTTAGAAGTCTCATTTTTGTATAATACACTTCTACATTATTTATGGACACACTGTAGATTTATGACAAATTAGATTATTGAATCAAACTAAATGGTAATGACCTTCAATGATACAAATAGAGATGACACTTAACTAAAATTTGATGAGTTAAAAAGTGCTAGGGTGCTAGTTTGCTCTAGTCTAGATTTTAGTTGCTTGGTTGTTAAACTCCCAAAATGGTACTGTATCAATAACATTTTGTCATTTTTAATAAATTTACGTATGGGGATGTGTATGCAATTGATTTCATTGGTTTAAATGTCATACCAAATCTCTCACAACATTCTTTTGCCTATGCAAGAAAAGTTTTAGAACTTTATGCATATTCCGTTTACATCTCACATCGATCTGTAACTAATTCTTTCATTAATTTTTCAAGTTTTTGTCAAATATTTGAAGCAAACAAATGTTTTACCCGAAAAAGCCAATAACATCCCCCAAATTCTAATACCCATTTTCAATTAAATTGCACAAACTATAATACAAGCCACATCAATAGAAATCTTTCCCTCATCAATAGCATTTTTGGTTAATTTTGACGAGATTGTATATACCTCAGACTTCATTTTTTTAGCTAATGTTCTCATAGTTTGAGGCTCTGTTCTTTGCTTCTTCATCGACAGATGACAAACCACCAAAAATTCCAACTCCAGCCGCAAGCTCTTCGCGCTACTTCATAGCAAGCTCCGATAGTAAGCTCTCAAACCAACTCCGGTAGTAAACTTTCGCATCGAGTTTAGCTTTGTCCCTCTCTCTCTCTCTCTCTCTCTCTCTCTCTCTCTCTCTCTCTCTCTCTCTCTCTCTCTCTCTCTCTCTCTCTCTCTCTTCTATTACTAGTAGGTTCTGAATGGAGAGGAATGGGATTTTGATTCAATCAGACATGGAGAATGGATAATATTGTAATTCTTGAAGCCCTGATTGGAGATGGAGATTGGAGATTGGAGAATTGGAAATGGAGAATTGATTCAATTGAATAGAGAATTGGAATTTGGAATCACCCCAATCGAATGACATATGCTTGATTTGGGAATTTCATTTTTCATGACAATTTTTGGAGCGAAAATACTTTACTGCCTTTCAAAAAAAATTTCATACAAAAAGTAATATTTTGTAAATTCAATTACTTTTGTAGGCATAAAGGCAATTTCATAATACTATAATATAAAAAAATAAAAAATTTAACCTTTGAGTCTTATTATTAGACACTCAAACTAGACTTTATCCAAGCGATTGAGCTGTTTGAATTTGACTCGAACTTTTTATTCTTAGCGAGTCTCGGTTCAATTACGTGCTCATTTTCCACTCTGGCCTTGAAGCTAGGCCCCGAACTTTCTCTACTGTTACTGCAGGAGGTGGTCATGTCCTTACCTTTGCGCAACTCAGCATATGCGCACTTAGGGCCTTCCCTTGGATAATTTCCTCAGTATTTAATATATCGGAACTATTTAATTTCCTCAGTATTTTGCTCTACTACGTCACTCTCGGCAAAAGGCCTGAAACCGTAGCTCCCGCCAGAAGCCGTCCACCGCCATACCACCTCCGCGACCTTGTCTTCATCAAATTCATCATCAATCAAACTCATAACACCGAAAAATGGTAAATACAGTGAAGAATTTGCTGCTGCGCTTGTGATGAATAATAGACTGGCTGATAACTGAAGAAGAAGAAATGGGGCATAGTTCGAAGAAAAAGAAGAAGCGCGGAGGCGCCCGAAGGGCTCCATCAAAGGATCACAATTCTCTTGCTGCTGATAATTCCGAGCTTATTGGTGAAGAAATCACCGCATTGTATGTCAATTCATTTCTTCATGTGCCTCTTGTATGATTCTTTTTGATTTTTTGGGTTTTTAAAATTTTTATTTTGCGGCGACTTTTGTAGTAGTAATATTTGATATATTCGGGTTCATTTCCGGTAGAAATTGAGAAACTTGTTGGTTATTCAATTGAGGATTTCAGGTTTTATAATTGCTGGATTAATTGCTGCTTTTCTTGTTAGAGGTAGAATGTCTAGGATATTAGGAAAGTAATGTATGCATGTAATTTTGGAGTTTGGAGTACTAGTTGAAGATTACTGTCTACGTACTTTGTGCAAACTTACCGGCTTATAGTTTGCACAAGTAGTATGGTAAGGTAAGGCCTGGTGCCATTGCCGTTGCTGCTCACAGTATTCTCGCTTTCATGCTAGTGGCATGATGAAACCCTTACGAGGTAGAATAATTACCAGTAACAGTTTACACCCTAGTGAATCACAACAGGAATTTTACTTCTGGAACATGGTAAATAAGTGATTTGGATTAGTTATTTTGGTTGTCCGAAATCCAAAATTACTTTTAGTATCTGGAATAATTGTTGTAACCTGAATAATAGCATACTATTAACCTTTGACAATGATCATATTTGGTGCTTAATTGTGGAAGTTGAATGCAAAAGCGGTTGTTATACCTAATAGAAACTCTTTATGCATAGCTATAGCTAGTACTTTTTTAAGAAGATTGTGATTTTTAAACGCAAATAAGCACAACCAACTAGGATTGACATGCAGCCATGTTCCATTAATCCTAACCTTTCAGGTTCTTAGAAACATATTTACAGCAACAAATGTATGGTACTTCAATTGTTTGTGACATAAGTTGCCTATGGCTGAAGCAGTTTAGTGGCAGTAAGTTTTTAATCTCCATACCAGTCAGGTGTGTTGTAAGTATGCGCATGGAGATGTGTCTTTTTTCACTAGAATTCTTGGAGGTGTGACCTCTGGCAGCTATCTGACAACTGATGCATGACAACGTTTTAGAAGAATTTTATGCTTAAAGTTTCTACATCAGTTTGAGTGACTGTTTCATGGACTGACAAGGTGTGCTATATTTCAAGATGAGTGTGAAGTTGTTTCCGGATCACCACCACAAATTCAGATTAAGCTCAGGTTATGTATATGAAGAATATCTATCGTACTTGTGTTTGGCATCTTCACTGTCTTTTGCATGAAGTGATTGTGGATTCAAATGACAGGCCATACTCAAAGGATACAGGATATGATGAATCAGATATTTCTGCTCTTCTTTCTGTAAGGTTAGTCAGCTCATGCACTAGGTTATGATATAGCATTGGTTCTTTTATATTTACTACCAAACAGAAATTCAAAAACACAATTGAAAGAAAAGATGAAAAGCAGAAAACATAATCTCTCTTCACTAATGACTCGTCATCCATTTATAAGGTTTTTATCTGGCTACCCCAACAAATGCCCAAAGTTGCGTATAATTCCTGAGAAAGGATTATCAGTGGTAGATGTGGACAATCTTCTGTCCTTGCTTCATGATCAAGTAAGATGCATACCTGTTCAGAAGCATTCCTTGCACGATTCATGATAGGTGTTGTTTGGAGGAATTTTTTTTTAAGTCATTCTGCATGTAGTATTGTGAATCCTTTTTGCTGAGACATATGGTTGATCAAAATCAGCTTTTTTTCTGTTCAAGTAATGAATCATCATCCTTAATGTGGGAAAATTCTGTTGGATTTTTTACTCCTGTTCTTAACTTTTGAGAGAGAGAGAGGGGGGGGGGAGGGAATATTCAAAGAAGTGGTTTCCCTGTATCCCCTCATCTTTGAAAAGTAGGAAAATCTTCCTATTGTTCTCTCATGCTCTGGGCCATTGAAGTTTTATTCTAGCCAGATATGTTAGGATATTTATGTAACATCCCAAAACATCACGGCTTATACTTTCTTTCTCCTGAATAATTTTTCTAAGCACTGGAAATGGTTTATGAGATTGTGCTAGAATAGCATGTTTTAGCTGGTGCCACAGTTTTTGATGCTGTGATGCTCTCCAGTAAAGTTTTGCTTTCTTTCTACTTTTTGTTAACAAGTCTTTGGCTATGACATGCTGTTAATTTATGTACTTGATCCAGTGATTGTTATTTCAATTATATTGTTATAAAAGCGTTGCTATCATTAAACATTGGTTCTGTTATTATTAATGTCATTTTATGTTCTTTTCATTCCGTGAATTTACAATATTCCCAGGCAAATTCTAATGCTCGTGAAGGGCGAGTAATGATTTACAATTTGGTGGAGGCTGCTCAAGAATTTTTGTCTGAAGTTGTTCCTCAAGCAGAATCACGTGAAGCTGTAAGCGTTAGCATTGATCAATTTGCAGCTATCATAAAGCATGAGAAATGCATGACTTCCTGAATTTAGATTTAAAAAGACATAGGAAGCATTCATGTCTTGTGGCAAGCTCAATAGCGTTACTCTGCTATGTATCAGACTCCTGAATGGTGGAGAAGACATTATGTTGGTTATTCGAGGGACTAGCAATAGAGAAAAAGGCCTTTAATGATCCTGTTTTGCAATGAATTCATTAATTTTCTTATAACAGTCGAAAGATAATAATTGAAGATTTGTATTCTTCCTAAATATAACTTTTAATCTTATGAACTTCGAAGGAGATCTTTAGGGATTCAGATATTTCTTATTCATTGTGAAATAGATGTAGGATTCAACTGTGTAAGAATTTTTTTTTTTGTTTGGGGCTATCCTCTGAGTACTAGATGATTAGCTTTTCTACATGGAATGTTTTCTTAGTGCAGGTAATGGCATGTGCTAGGAAATGTAGAAAGAATAATTATGATTTCTATTTCTCTCTTTGCTCATTCAAGGTCCTCACCATCTAGGTTACCATACCTTACGTCTCTTGCCTCTTAGGTCCCTTTTATTTGAAAAGGAGAGGAGAAGGGAGTCAGGATCCACATTTAAGTATTGCAATCCAATTATGCCATGCTCAATTTCATACTGGTAAAAGCTACATGGCATATGCATCATTTAGTCTAAAGCCTGATGTTATGTATAATTCGGCATGTTTGCACTAGCTTTGTTGCATATGGTCAGATAGCACCTTTCCTTCAAAATCCACTAGCCCGATAAAGAGTGGGATGTTTGAGTTCTTTCCTTGGTAATAGATTCCTTTACCTGATTTTGTCTCTGAGCAGGACCGGTAAAGTCTACTTAATGCATGGAGATATTGTATGAGGGCTATTGCTAGAATGCTTCCTTCGTGGTCACTTAATTTGCTGCCTTGATGTATCCACTGCATGTTCACCATGTTTTTGTCAGAAAGATGTATTATGATGTTTGCAGAAAGCTGCTTTATCATTGCAAAGTCTGTCTGACATAATGCATGGTTGACTCTTATGTGCTTTGGCTTCTTTTCAGGCTATATCCCAAGCCACGGACAGGAGTACCTTGCTATCTCGCAAGGATTTGGCAGTTTCCAGAATCATGATGTACTCTTGTAAAGGACCTTTTGTATATGGTTATATAGATCTTTTTAGTGGTTGTGGGAATCATGGCATTGGAGCCTGGGAATGGAACAAAACTCTGGTCTAAAAACTGAAGTATCTTCTAATACCTTCGAGCATTCCAAAGTTGGACATCAGAATGCAGATAACAAAATTGGGAAGAAGTCAGTGGAACTTCAGGGTGCTAAGCAAGAATTTGCGCAAAACCCTGCATTGAAACTAGTCACTGTTAAAGAGGAGAGTGAGGATGAGATCAAGAGTACTGATTCAAGTACAACTCTATCTTGTGGAACAGTCAAAAGTGGTAGTGTTGGTAACATAAAGGTATTGGTGAATATCTTTTCCTTCAAGATGGATGCCAAATACATGTTAGGTTTTGTTCTGCCATATAATTTTTTCTGTCTTTTTTTTTCCTTTTTTTTCCTGATCTGAACTTTATCTTTCCTTTCTGTATAATATAGCACTAGATACATTAAATACACATTTATCTGGATATGTTGTTTTCTTAAGTTGCAGGATATTTTTGTGGAGGAGAATCTACAGAAACAACTGATGAAGATCGATTAATAGAACCTTCAGAATCAGTGTCTTCAAAATCTGTTATCAATCACCAATTATCTCAGACTATGAGAACAGATTTAATTATGGTGGGCTTCTTTCTAATTCTCACTGTGCTGCCTGTGAAGTTCAATTGTACTTGTGCATTAAACTCATTCTCCGTTAGGTTCACCTACTTCGCCTTGTTTGCGCACCCAAAGGGCCTCTAGGTGATGCTTTGCTGCAAATCACATCAGAGCTGTACAACCTAGGGGTATGTATTCGTTCTTCTGCTGAGCTGATAATGAGGTTGCTCTTTGTCTATGTGTTAATTAATTTACCTTAACTAGGGACTATCTTTTATCTCATAATGGCCATCTTGTGCTGTTTTAGATCGTATCTGAGCATGTGCGTGATCTGACAATTGAACCATCTCCAGTTTTTGAGAAGGCTTTTAATCATGTTTTCGCTCAGCATAGGGTTAGTAAACTACTCTTTTGATGTCCATCTTATACTAACAGAAGCTGAATTCCATGTTTTTACTTATACCTTGCCAAATTCCTTGCTATAGGTCTCATCAAAGATCTCTCAGTTTTGGAGAACTGCTTCTGATTTTGAAGGACAGAATTCTTCATCCACGTCAAGTTCCCGTTATCTAAGTGATTTTGAGGAACTCCAGCCCCTTGGTGTGCATCCATCTTACTTTACTCAATCCACAGTGATGGATATCTGAATAAGTTAAAGGAATCTGTTGACCAACATTCTCATTGCAACATGGTGTTTGTTCCTTAGGAGAGAGTAGGCTATTTACTTCCTGGTACATTGATATTTTGTTGAGCCTTTTAAAATGGAAATGGTAAAGGTATTTAGATTGTTGCAATCCAGGATTGGAAGGTTTGCTACAGTGCCTTGTGTTCATTTTGTTGTGGTATTTAATTGAGTCAAATGAAAGTGGCACTTGGTTTGTGTTTGGTAAAAGTGGAGCCTATTCATCTTAGCTTTAAAGTGGCAATAAAATATTTAACATTTATGATCTACTCTAATGTAAAAGAACAAGTTGACCTTACCTGGTTTCACTTTTGATTTTTACTAATTATCTTGCAAAGCATTCGTTTGGACGCTTTTGTCTGAATAGGTTTTCTTTTAAAACTTTGACAAGAAAATATGCTTTCAGTTTGTTGAATTTCGATTGGATGCTTTTTTCTTTGAGTTTCATATTGTTTGCGATTGCACTCTGGTGCCTCTTGATGTATGCCGTTTCTCCAAGAATTTTTTTTAAAATAATTTTGTCAGTATATACTTTGGGCATAGCTTCGAGAGAAGCTCTGAGTGAACAAGAATAGACCCTTAGGTTGGTGAGAAGAACCCATATAGCCTCAGGGCGAAAGGGTGATTAATTTGTGAATATCCTATGACCAGTTGTTCTTGTTCTCATGTCAGCCCCATTGCATCCTGTCGTAAAGCTGTTCAGTACGATGTATCTGTTTAAATCCTGACTTGCTCATCTAATTGGACATTTTTATTGAGTAAAGATTCAGCATTGGCAACATGATTCACTAGTAATGTTCCATTTCTCTCGCTTATGCTGTTGCTTTACGATGCCTTTTTGTATTTCTTTTGGGGAGAAAAACATTTGAACCCCCAGTTCTTTATCTGTGGCATTCATTGCTAGGACTTGTCTGATTTGCATTTGCACCCTTGTCTTTCTCTGTTCTCTAATGTGGCATCTTGGTATTTCTGTGACCATATCTCCTTTTCCTAGCAGGTCATGGAGGATTTGGTCATGTTGTGCTGTGTAAAAATAAGATAGATGGCAGGCAATATGCTGTCAAGAAAATACGCTTGAAGGACAAGAGCCTGCCTATAAATGATCGCATATTGAGGTTACCATCTGCTCCTGTATATTTTTATTTTCCTGTCGCTCAAAATCATCAGATGGTATTAAACACTCTTATTCCTTTGTTAATGTTCTACCTTCTGTGACAAAGTTTCTATCCACTTCTGGACGTTGAAAGGATCACTTTTATGTCCTCACTTCTCTATTCTTAGTCTTTGCTACCTAAGTGTAACCCTGAAAATACAGAAGTTGGCAAGTAATGAATTTTCAGGAAAAATATTGGTTCCTCTGCAAATTGAATTTTGTTTTGGGATGAACAAATATGTGCATTCTAATGTATATGATTAAAGCCTTTATAGAAGCTTTTGAATAGCTTATAGTCATTGTCAATGTCATAGTTCAGGCTTGAGTAACAATCCAGTACATATTAGTTTGTTTGTTTTTATGGTCAGTGGTCCTTTTGGTGATTTTATGATATTCTTTTAGTTTCAAAAAAGCATTTTTTTATGAGTGTTAGAATAAATTTATGGTTTGTGGCTGGTTAGGTTACTTATAATTGGTTTCTTAGGCATTTGTTATGGTTTCTGATAAAGCGAAGTTTTTTAGTAGCAGAATCAGCTCTTGGGAGCCTTCAAGTCTATGTCTGTGTAGCCTATGGAACTTCTAGAGGCTGAATTATTTTCTTGATTTTAGTGCAACCAATTAATGTTTTGATCTTCTTTTGGCTATTGAAAGCAGCCTCAGGATTCCTTGAATCTCACCTGAATTGCGTATCGAGCAACCCTGAAACTGTTTATTTTCTGCTGCTGTCGAACAACAATTTTGCCAAACTTTTTTTTTTGCATCCGAAGACCCCTGTTTCAGTCTTGAAAATTGGCATAGATGTAAGGTGTAATCCGGCATGAATTCTAACAGAAAACTAGAGCTCCCGTTGTGTATTAGTACACCAAAAGAATGTAATGTATTGAAAGGAGTATCCTAATATTTCATGCCTTAGAATAAATATTTGAAGTGCTTTAAAAATGTTATAATGTGCTATGATTCAAAGGAGCCAATGGCTTCCATAGGTTTCATGCACTACAGCCCTTGTTTTCATGTTATTGTTTGTTTTAGATTTGATTTTTGTTCTCCGCTTGCATAGAAGATTCTGGAGATTTTGCATCTAAAGCTTGTATCCCTATGGGATATAATACATTATAGTTGATTTTCAAAACATATAATGGAGTTGGTTCCTGTAAATTTTGTATACTATTTGAAATTATACATCAAACAAAGGTGGACTACGATGCAAAGCAGGAATGTAGATAAGTGACCTTTGATTTTTTCCGTGCCTGCTTTAACTTTCGACAATTTACTTGGAAAGAAAAAGTAAATGGGTGTTTAATGGAGAATCTGTGAATTTCTGCTGTGTTGAAGCAACGTTTTATGCTGACCCAGATTGTCTTCATCATCTTTAGATTGCTGACCAGAAAAAGGAGAAAAAAGAAATAAAGAACTTTGCTAGGGAGCAAAAGTAAGGATGATAAGTTTCTTTTTGATATCATATTGGTCTGCATAAGCTTAGAGTCATGATGCTGGTATTCTAACTTAAGGTTACATTTTGAAGCCATTTGGTTAGCATTTATTGCCTCAATCTTGTGCTTTTGATCAACTGTCTTGACACTTTTTCTACTTGGAGTTGTTGTATATTGTTTTTATTTTTTGGTAAAAAGTGCATGGCATCTCCCATTTGCTTTTTTATATTCTTTGTGATCCAATCCTTTGTTAGATGTAGATTTAATAATCGTACTGTGGGCGTACCTTGTGGTTTTCTTACTAAATGAGTATGCTGCTTATGTTGTCTGGTGCAACCATTTGTTTTTCTCTTATTAAATATTCTTAAAACTTCAGGGAAGTTGCTACTCTGTCACGGTTGCAGCATCAACATGTTGTGCGTTACTACCAGGTACTTTTGCAGTTTGAACTTTTTTTTATCTCCTTATCTATTCATGAGAGGTGTTCTATTCTGTGATTTGTAGGAGTTTATAGTATATGGTTTTGGAAACTTTTATTTAATTGAACAAGTTATCAAGTTCTAAAAGATCTTCATTGTATTTGATTGTTCTAGTGGTGATTAAAAATTAATTAAAATATTTCAGGCATGGTTTGAAACAGGAATTGCTGGTTCTTTTGATGCAACCCAGGGCTCAAAAGCCACCATGAGCTCCACTTTCAGCTACATGGATGGAAGCTCATCTGATATTTTTGGGCTGGAAACTAAGCTTGATTCGACTTACTTGTACATTCAAATGGAATACTGCCCCAGGTTATGCTTCTCTTCCATTTTACCTGTAAATTTAGGAAAAGGAAATGAAGGGGATAGCACATCAGGACATGCTTAGGGGCAATCAATCAGTGCTATCACTGACAGGAGCAAAGTATTCTTTTCTTTTTTATTCCTTCTGGAATTGGGGGAGGAGGAGGGGGAGGGGGTGGAATCATGAATCTAAAATCTGGCTTCTGTCATACTAATCTCCCCTTCACTTATGAATAAAAAATTTGTTGCTCTCTCTTAATAGTAACTTCCTTTCTTTTTTTATATTTATTTATTTTTTGGGTGAAAAATCTAGCAGGTCATTTTTTTAAAATGTAATTTAGGAGTTTTCTTGCAAGTTTTAGTTGACATAGCTCCTTTGCTTGAGGTATTGTAAATTCTAAGTTCATTTCAGACAAAGTGGATCAGGAGAAGCCTGAAGGCATATTGTCAACCTATGAGGAAAAAAGTCTCGAGTTTTATGGATCTTTATGAAGCAAAGAACCTTTATGTAGGCCGATCAGAAAAAGAAAGTAAACACATGAAATCATTATTTAATTGAAACCTCATAAGCTTTGCATGTTCTTGTTCTATAATAGCCGATTTTCACTGTTATCGATTGCCTAATATGAGGCTTTCAAAGGAAAATGATTACAGTTACGTTGGTGGGGCACTGGGTGCTTGTCACATTCTATCTAAGACTATTAGAATTTTATCATCAACAATATGATGCTTGCACAACATATCACCTTTACCTTACAGATGTTCTATCCCAAGAATGAATTGTAAAAGGAAATAAGTGGATCTGCTTACATTTGAAAAATACAACTGCTCACAGTCGAAGATATCTTTTCATATATACTTTCATAAAGTCTTTTTTCTTTTTGCGCTTTTCTTGACTAGATTTAGTTATAGTACAGGGAGCTTTGAAGAAATTATGTAGATAAAGGGTAACTGTCCAAATAGTTTCTCCTTTATTTTGAGGTGCTGTAACTTCTTTTTTCTTTAACTATGATGCCATTATAGAATTCTTTTTTTATGCTTCCGTCTCACGTATTTCTTTAGCTATTGATAGTTATTGATAATTATATTGTTTCTGTGTTATGCATCCTCAACAATGTCAAACAACCATCTTTGGTTGTAGATATATTTTGCAGTTGCATAATTAATGACATTTTTATTCTTTTCTTTTAAATGGTTTCACGTAACTAATTTAATGTCCATGTTTTACAGGACACTGCACCAAATGTTCGAACCGTATAATCAATTTGATAAGGAGCTTGCCTGGCATCTGTTTCGCCAAATTGTTGAAGGCCTGGCACACATACATGGCCAAGGAATAATTCATCGTGACTTGACTCCTAATAACATCTTTTTGATGCTCGCAATGACATTAAAATTGGAGATTTTGGTCTTGGTGAGAAACTTTTCTAGTTTCTACTAGATTGAACTTATTTTTATGCACACGAGTTACTTGTCTTTGCTTTAGCATCAAGTACCCCAAAATGAAATGTCCACTTTTTGCAGTGTTGGATTCATTTTTTTCTTCTTAAAGGCTTCCTGGATTCTTTTTGCTGAATGGGAGAATCTAAAATTATGTTGATCGTAGTTCACTGCATGCAAGTGGAATATGCACCAAAAATGCTAGGGGATTGAATGTTCATAGTACTCTCAATACTTGCACAGAAAAAATGTAAATAGTACTTTTTGGCTTATGATTGGTAATTTCATCAAGTCACACAATTGGTTGTTTCAATGGATGAGATTACTAAATATACCTTTGTATCTTGATTCGCATTGATGTTCCATCAAGATTACAAGTTATGAAATATTTATGACTAGGCTTGTATCTTGTCTAGATTATCTGTTCCCTCTTGCTAGTGAGAGATTTGTGCATGCAGCAGATAATTGCTGTGAACTAGACATTTACTCTTTTTTCTTTTTTCGGGTTAGATCTATCCTTTGAACTGTCATCTTTTCTATTTTTATTTTTTGGCATTTTCTTAGGGATACTCCAGTCCTTAGGAAATGATGGGATTGTGAATGTCATAGTCTGGGATATGCGAATATTTAGGATATACTTTGATTATTGGTGGGGCGTTTGTAGGATTACTATACTCTGGATACGCGAATATCTAGGATATACTTTGAATATTGGTGGGGCATTTGGTGGATTGGTGGGGCATTTGTAGGATTACTATACTTTGGGATACGAGAATGTCTAGGATATACTTTTTTTATTGGTGGGGCATTTGTAGGATTACCATACTCTGTATGGATGTTTCCTGCTTGATTTATGTGGCTAAAATTATCAGTACAGAAATTTATTTGCTATCAAGAGGGAGACAATAAAAGGCACATATCGCTGTATTCTTTTCCATTTCAGCCAAGTTCTTGAAGTTGGAGCAAGTGGAGCAGGATGTTGATGCCACAGAAACAGTTGGAGTTTCAGTTGATGGTACTGGCCAAGTTGGCACATATTTCTACACTGCACCTGAAATAGAGCAAGGGTGGCCAAAGATAAATGAGAAGGTATTTTTGGTTTTTTGAACAAGTTTAATTTTGTAGCAGTAACTACTACTCCTGTAGATTCCTCGCTCAATTACCTTGTTTCTGCAGGCTGACATGTATAGTCTAGGAGTTGTATTTTTCGAGCTCTGGCACCCTTTTGACACAGCAATGGAAAGGCACATTGTCCTTTCTGATTTGAAACAGAAGGGAGAGCTTCCTTCTGCTTGGCTAGCTGATTTCCCAGAACAGGCGTCTTTGTTAAGACTTCTGATGTCACCAAGTCCATCTGAACGTCCGTCAGCTACAGAACTTCTTCAACACGCTTTTCCTCCCCGAATGGAATATGAGCTTTTGGATAGTGAGTCCTTGACAATGTTTGATACTTCCATGTAGCATGTGGAATCAATTACAAGAACTAATATGTGCATAAATGTTGATGCCCATACATTAGTTGTCCCCGTTGAAGTAAAAGAATGCTTAGTAGTTTTTTAAGATTTAGACATGTAATAGTTCAGATTAAGGTGGGAAGCTTAGAAAGTCACAAACTGAGTTACTCATATTATTATGTCACAAACTTACTCATATTATTATGTCACAAACTGAGTCATTCTGAAGCAATTTTTTTCTGTGTTTAGAAAGTCAAATTAGAAGCTACTCATATTCTGCATCACATTTAAGTCAAACTTTGGGCTTTTGTGCTTCTTTGCTGCTGCCTTTCTTTTGCTTCGACTATGGGGAGTATGAGTTGAATTGATGGCTTTTACTCTCAACATGGTTGTCTAGCAGTCTCTCTTGGTCCATGTCATCTTAGTTTTATGGATTGTGACTGATTAATTGCTGATTGAGTGTTTACTTCAGATTTTAGGTCAAAAGATTTCAAGCCCTTGTCCTGCCCTGTTACTTTAGGATGATGTGCTTGATGAAAGCCTATGGCCCATATAGTGGTGAAGTAGTGTTCTGACTTCTCTCATTTATGATGTATTTACTCATTTCGGCATATAGATTACCTGGTCTGCATTTTCCTTTTTGGAAAACCTTTTGGTTTAGTTATTGTACATTTTTTTAACCTGGTTTTGTTTGATGGTTCTCTCTCTCTCTCCCCTCCCCCCCTCCTCTCCATACGTATGTTAGTTTTAAAAAGTAAATAGTTCAACTTTGGCCTGATTATTTATTTTTGTATTGTTTTAAACGTATGAGGAAGCTAAAAATCATTTCCTAAAGCTTTGCTTCCTTAATCTATTGTATATCATGATTAAATTAAGGATATTCATCTCTTCAAATGCAGATATTCTCCGAACAATTCATACCTCTGAAGACACTGGTGTGTATGACAAAATTGTAAATGCTATTTTTGATGAGGAGCTTTTGAGTACAAAGGAACATGAGAGTGTTGAGAGATTGAAATTGCTTGGAGGTGATATCTCATCTGTCCTATTTTCGGATGTTGATACCAGTAACCGTGATCATGTATTGGAGGTGGCTGCTGGAGTGTTTAGACAACATTGTGCAAAGCATCTAGAGGTTATACCAATGCACATGTTGGCTGATTCTCGACAGCTAAATAGGTTTCCCCTTGTCCAGTCTTTGTATCTTATTTTGTTATTGTTCCCAAAATTATCTCATTTTGCATGTTCTGCTGCTTTTTTGTCTTTTTTTTTTTTTATAATTTAGTTATTCTTGACTTGGAAGGAATACTGTGAAACTTTTGACAATGGAGGAGACATGGTTGAGCTTTGTCATGAGCTTCGCTTACCTTTTGCCAACTGGATAATTGCCAATCAGGTATATGATTTGCTTTCCAACTTCTTTTGCCATGGCTTATGTGCTGCTTTTTTTCTACATGTTGAACTCTTTCTTTTACTAATCAGTTTTTTGGTCAGCATGTTGCATTGCCTGTTTGTTTACTATATATGCATATTGATTATGGTTTCCTGAAGATAAGAATAATGTGTGATATCTCAACACGTAGAGGTTTGGTCAATTCTTTTGTGTGGTGCGGTGAGATGAAGTTGTCAGCTGAACATACATCTTCCAAGGGAATGGGGGGTCTATTTGGGATTCTCTGTTGGGCTCTTGGGTTTTCATATTTATTGACCGTGGTTTTCGATATTCTTTTTATATGAGGGCTATTATTCTTTTCTTTCTCCTGTTTTTAGTAAGTAGCATTTAATAGTTCTAAGAAATTGAGTTGAAGTATTTTAGATGTGAGTTGACGAATCTTCTGACTATTGTTCTGAATTTTGTTGTGCTAAGTAACTGCAATCCACATATATGTTTCCATCTTGCAGATTGTTATGTTTGATGGACTATGAGCCAGTTCAGTAATGGAATTTGCTATCTCAAAATTACTGAAATAATTTTAGAAAATGACTGCTTGAAGTTTTAGCTTTTCTGATTTTAGAAATTCATTTTTTAAAAATTTTAATAGTTCTTATTGCTCATTGTCTGTGGGACTTTTAAACTGGCTCTACTGCTATTCTGTTTCACTACCTTTGGGTGCCAATAAGTACTAACACTACAATTTCTTTGCTATGGCTTTGGTTGTCAATTAGTGCAAATAATATGAATTATTGTCTGCTGCAGAAATCCTTCTTCAAACGGTATGAAATATCGTATGTATATCGAAGAGCAATTGGTCATTCACACCAATCGGTACTTCAGGTTTCCTTGCATAACTTTGTTAACATTCTACTGATAACAGTCAACGTATATGATAACCTATCTTATGCTAGCACGGGGATGCTGGTTTATTTGAATGGCTTTTGTTATTTATAGGCGGACTTTGACATTGTTGGAGGTGCGATAGCATTGACGGAGGCAGAGATCATTAAGGTAAGCTTTCATGTTGCATCAGTGCCTGGACAGTAGTCTTTTGAGTACAGCGAACCATTCTCCTATAGACACCGTATTAGGTTAGTTTCTTTAATGATTTTAGAATCTTCAGTTTGGGAGTAATAGAAATTTAGCATGCTTTGAACTTCAATAGTCAATGCCATAGGATTATCTTATGAGCTGTCAATTATTCAGCATTGGATACTTAATGTGATTTTTTAAAAATACAGTAAGATTGTGACCTTTGTCTCTTTCAGTCCACCTTAACCCTAGTCCCACCAGAGCACAATTTTTATTTTCTTTTAATACAACTTTAGAATCTTAGAAACTTAGTTTGCTGCATACTTCAATACATGCAATGCAGTAGAAATATCCTGTAGGGTTCCAATTTATGGTATCAAATTGTTTTGGATTGCATGGATAACTTAATTCAACTCCTTAAAATAGATTTTAAGATTTTTCCTTTGACCTCACAAACTTTACTGGTTTTTACTGCTACTTTCTTCCATCTGCACATACTCTTCTCTTCTCACACACTTGCATTATCTCTCTCTCTCTCTCTCCTTCTCTCTCAGACACCTACCAGCACTTTGCCTCCTTTTCCATGTACAAACACATACTTTCTCCCATACATGCTATTTCTCGCACTTCATTTTCACCTACTTTTGTCATAGCACGATCTATTAGAGACGTTTCACTTCAGTATATTCAGCCTTCAGATTCTATACTTAGTTTCATCAAGCAGGACTCTCTGCCTCTTTTGTTCTTTTTTGTCATGTTATTTATATGGCATAGTGTTGCTTCAATTTCTAGAAGTGTATGGAAGGGATTAAATTGTGCTCTGGAGTTGAATCTTATTAGGGAATTGCTGTGATCTCCTCTCCTCTTTTTGCCTCTTAATTCTTATGTCTTCCTATCTTGTGTCCTCAATTGTCCTAAGATTATAACTAAGATCTGAATTTTTATCTAACTCACACTTTCTTCTTGGTGCTGCATTAATATGTTGAGACATTGAAAGTATCATCCTTCTTGTTTTTATCTTTGGAAGTGTTTTTCTTTAAAGTTGTACCTTTTCTTTTCTTCATAGGTAATCTTTCGATTTTTCCTGGGTCATCTTTTAAATGAAGCCACATCAACTATAATCAATTAGGAAGGAAAGTTTATGTCTATTGAGCCTTAAAAAGAAAAACTGGAAGGACAATGAGAATTTCGATCAGAAAGTAAAATGGAGCCTGCTTACAAAAACTAATTTAAAGAATTATCCTCATATAAACATGTTGCTCTAAGAGGAGTCTTTATAAGGCATTTAGCATGATCATATTCTCTTTCATTAGTGTTTTTGTTGAAGTCTGTCTTATAATTGCCACAATCCCATTTTTAAGATTCCATCATTTTTCCAATCTTTAGGCCTCGATGGACATTATTGGTCAGTTTTTTCATTCAGAATTATGTGATATTCATTTGAACCATGGAGATCTATTAGAAGCAATTTGGTCTTGGGCCGGAATCGAGCCGGAGCATAGACAGAAAGTGGCTGAGGTATTGGTCTTAAGTAGCCTTTATTAGACTTTCATCATTTGGCTTCTGCATAATGTTGGATATGCAATATTCTTATTATGCCTACTTTTTTCAATGTGAAGCTTCTGTCTCTATTAGGATCTTTGCGCCCTCAATCTTCTGAAAGAAAATCTAAATGGGTGGTGATAAGACGACAGCTTCAACAGGTATTGGAAACGTTCTGGACCTCATTTTCCCCAAGTTATTTCACAATTCAAATAGAATATCGTTTTCTGCGGTTTTTTTTTGGCTCAAGGAAACTAAATTTATGTGTTACTGAAAGAAAAAATCTTTAGTTAATGAAAACTAACTCGAGAAAAAATGATATTTTTTTTAACAGTAACAGATGTATCAGTAAGTGAAGTTTCAAATGAAGGGTTTCACCTATCTAACTGACATGTAAATAAACTGAGGATTAAGTAATTGTGTATATGTGTATACTCAGATTATGGTAGGTTTAGGCATGTTTTGGGTCTTGATGAGGATCTAGGCCTTGATTGTAGACATACCCCAAGTTCTCCTTGAGGGTCATTCTTAAATTTAGACCAGACCAGCAAATTCTCATGGATCTGGATATCAAACTACAGGCTATCATGCCTGTCTGTGGTTTTAGCTTTATAAGGGTGCAAACATGCTGCTTTTTCTATCTTGAAGAAATTGTTTTGCTGTAATATGTACAAGGCAGGATACAGACAAGAATCATTCTCCACTATTTAGCTTGAACTAGTTTCTCACTAGCCTTCTTTCCAGGAACTTAATCTTGCTGAAGCTGTTGTAAATAGATTGCAGACTGTTGGACTTAGATTCTGCGGACTTGTAGATCAGGCTCTTCCCAGGTTAAGAGGCGCCCTTCCTGCTGGTATGTTGTTTGTGATTCCTATGCTGTAATAACTTTGGATTATATAAGTCCTATCATTTATTCCAGTTGTTTACCTGTTGCAGGTAAGTCCACAAGGAAGGCCCTCGATGAGTTGTCAGAGCTTTATAACTATTTAAGGGTTTGGAGGCTTGATAGACATATCTTTGTGGATGCACTTATGCCTCCAACTGAGAATTATCACAGAAATATTTTTTTTCAGGTACTCAAATCATGCATGTCTCAGATATGGTTTATTAGGCCTTGTTTGGTTGACCAAGGAATATGGCTTAGGAGAGTAATCGAATACTTGACTAGACATTTCACTGTTGGGTAAATAGGTGAGTTTAAGAAAAGTAATTATTCTTAAAACATAGAACTTTATGTCAAAATCTAGGATTGTGGATTTTTTTCCTTTTGTGGTAATGGTGGGATTTGACTAGAATACTGGTACATCCTGTTGGACTCAAATGGAGGTTCTGGGAGGTTCTGGCCAAGTTGTACTCCTTTTGTGGGAAGTCTCAAACTGCTTTATTAGTTGCATAGCCAATTTAAACATAACCTCTTTCTGTATTCTGAAGTTACGTCAGTCAGCATTAATTTCCCAGCAGCTGTGTCAAACTAACGACAACAAATTCACATTTACCATCAACAAATTTGGTTATTCAACATTTGTCCTTGGTGTGCCAACATGAAAACCTTCATCATCTTGTGTTTAATCATTTGGAAAGAATGAACCTGCATGCTGAAAACATGACAACTGATTATCACATTCTTTCCTGGATTTCGATTTTGTAATTAGAAAATCATGGTTCTTTTGAGTTATAAGAGAAATATGAAAAAAATTGAAGAAATAGAAGAAAGAAAGTTGATCATATTTTTTATTTCTCAAAGGCTATTGTGGAAGTTTAAATTTGTGTAGGACAAAGTAAGTGGATACAAATTTTATTCTTAGAATGTTACATGTTGAATGGTGTTGTTATAACTCATATGCTGTTGTTGAAATATCTATTATGTTAATAATCCAATGGATACCTAATTGATTTTATTAGAAACTCTATTTGCTAAATTGCTACATGTTGCATCTTGACAATGACCCAAAAAACACAATGCAATGGATTGAAATAAAGAATACATCTGTTATGTAATCGAATTACAATTGTCAATAGATCAATAAACTCTTCTTTTTTAATGCAAAAGAGAGTTCATGCAAGAGTAAATTCATTATTACTCATGAACAGGGAGTTCACAATGCGCTTTCATTGAAAAATTATATCATCTTTGGAAATAAATTTAGTTTTTCATACATAGCTGACAGTGGAGCAATTTTGATGATGCTTGCACTTGGGAAGAATCACCAAACAACTGGACAAAATCAAAATTTTCTTTCCTGAGGAGAATGTTAGGACCTTCATATACACTTTTGTAGTGATGTAGGACGCCCCGTCCGATATAATTCCCAAGTTCTTGGATTCATGCTACCTATTTTACATCCATCTTGCCCCTTTGTCATCAGTGATTCAACCTAGAATCCTGAAGTTAGTTCAACGCATTACTTTTAATTAATGATGAAACACTGAATCAGGCATAATCTGAATGTTTACAATTGTCAGTGACTTTTGATTTTTTTTTGAAGGAAAACAGCATTATGTGATTGGCAAGACTAGCATTTTTTTTTTGGGAAATTTATAGTGGAATAGAATCAACTGGGAAATGGTCAAAAACCATTTTGATTTGAGAAAAAATGGAGCTAGATCCAAATTTTAATACGTGGTATTGATTTATTGAATCTGCTATTATGCTTATTCAAGATGTCAGCAAGACCAAAGCATATCCTTACACTATGCACCTTCAATTCCAAAGACCATTTTGGTTTGAGAAAAAATGGAGCTAGATCCAATTTTTAATACGTGGTATTGATTTATTGAATCTGCTATAATACTTATTCAAGATGTCAGCAAGACAAAAGCATATCCTTACAGTATGCACCTTGGTAGGATTCAAGATGCTAACCGCACCGCCGCACCTAGCCACTGACCTGTGCTTTGACTTCGATCTTGTCCCAGATATAGTTCTGAGTGGCTACCCTGGGTGGAGAAATAAGAGCTCTGTAGATTATGATATGCATATCATATGCGCATTCTTCATGTTTAGTCTGACATGTCAAGCCTGTGCAAACAACTGCTTACATGCTTCAAAATGACATACATTTCAAGTGCAGTATTTTTTTTTTAACAAGGAGTATTTTATGTTAAGAAAACCTTGAATGCTTTTTATTCAGGTTTTAGTTTCCATCCTCTGTTTTTGCCTAACCTCTATGAACATATCAACATTTTGAATTTACTGAGGATGTGAAGCATTTTCTATGGAAGGTCCAAAAGACTAGCATCATTTTCATGTTGCAGATATATATGAGGAAGAGTCTTGGATCTTTAGTGGAAGGAACCTTGCTTGCTGTCGGTGGTCGTTATGATTACTTGCTTCATCATACAGGCGATTTTGAATATGTATGTGACTTATTTTGCTTTGTTGTTCCTTATTTCATCTTTGTAATTGTTAAGTGATCAGGACACTTGCAATAAAGTTTTACTTTGCTTATGCTTTCAGATAGATTTCACTATGGACTTATAACAATTTTTTTTTTGAGTTATGGACTTCTAATTTGCTTGAGCAAAATTATATGCGGTGATGTTTTAGGTGGTGCTTGACATAGTTTTCTGATGCATATTGTGATATCTTCATATATCTTGTACGCCTCCCCTCTCTGGTAAGCAAAATTGGAGTTATAGGCTGCAAAATTCTGAGCAGTGAATGTTACAAGAAAGCTCATTGGTGGTCCTTGATTCATCAAGTGCTGTTAGTATCCTTTGGTCAGTATTTTAAAACTCGAATTAGACAGGCCACTTGACCAATTTAACCTGGAACCTGTTGACCGTTCGGTCTAAGTATGCACCAAAAAATGTTTGGCAAGAAACCAGTAATCGGGAAGCGTGGAAATTGGATATAACTGAGTTTTCTGGTTTTCTTTTCTCTTCAAAATTTGACGTCTCTTTTTGTGAGATTCTGTGGCTGATGCCTGTTGCCTTTTGAAACTTGGAATGCCTGAAATCAAAAGGAGAAGAGAAAGGAAAAGCAGTATTGGTCAGGAAGATAATAGGAAGACACTAAAGAAAACAGACAATTTTTGTGTGTGTCTTGCATGAGGAAAGAAAACAGTGATCGGAGAAAAGGAGAGAAATTGAAGAACTAGCAACTGGAGTGGAGAAGAAATAGACGATAGGAAAAAAGGAAATTTTGTCCAGAGAAGAGGAGAAGAAATAGAAGAAGCGACTGATTTTGGTTGTTTGATAGCTGTGACACTCCAAACTTTTCTGATATTGTATAATGATCCTTAGAATTTTTCAAACTGTAAATCCAACCATGATTGTTTTCTAATTTAATGGCAGGCCTAATTTCTGCAGTCTAAAAGCACACATCATCTATGTATAGAGACCTCTTTTGAATGGTTTTTGGGTACTGGTCTCTTACCCCTGCTTCTTTACCTTGTTGGGTTTGCCTGTGGTCCAAGTATTAAATACTGCCTTTGGTGGTCATTTTGCAAATAGTTGCCTATCTTCTCTGCATCTTCTTACATCATTTCAAAAAAGCATGAACCATCTCTCTAACTATGTTCTGCCTGAACAATTTTTCCATGCCTACAAGAGTTGTTGAAGTTCTACTTTTCTTAAGTTATGAAAATACAAATATCACAATTCCCTCCTGCCAGTTTCTAACGAAGTGAAAGGGAATGGAAAAGATCTCCAGATTTTATTATTGCTAAATAATTGGTGGAAGAACCTAAGTATGAGACCATATATGTATTTGTTCCGATTGGGAATGATGTTAAGATTTTTCTGCCTTCGAAATCAGATTGAGGGTCTCAGATGAATATGTTGTATCCTACCTTTGGAAATGAGGGACTGGATATTATGTATATTACACGCCAGTCTCTTGCCATCTCTCTGTTTGTCCTTCATTCATTAGCCAATGCTGACTAGTCATCATTCGCTGGCAATTCCTTTTTGACTATGGGATCCAGAAATGGATATTTATAGGATGTTTTCAGACAGGTTTTTCTAGTCTCAGTTGGAGGTTTGAGTAATTAAGGTTTACACTTGGAGAGCAGCTGGAGGTTGTTACTCATTTGGGAGTCATACCGGTAAACCTGTTGTTGTTTCCCTAGCTATGCAACTCACCATTTTCTAGTGAATGAATGTCTCAAATGTTTGTAGGTAGCATGAATTTCACGCCGTTGGCATGTGCAAATGTTAGTCATGTTGACAGATGTGACACTGAGGCGTTTAAATTGATACTGGACTTTGTTGCTATAGACAATTCTGCAAGAAAAGTAAAACAATTGAATGACAATCATGGTGCATATTGTGTCTTAATCACATAAAGAGGGTCTCGCCTTTTTGAATACTAATTAATCTTTGTATGAAATCCCTGTTCTGTGACTGAGACGATTGAATGAATTGTGGGACACATCTCATGGTCAGGAGACTGGACATGGACTATGAAAATTACCAGTGAAATCAGTTGAGATGTTGTAAGGAAGTGCAAGTCTAGACAAGGTTTCGTCTCTCAGATTTGGTACCTAAAACATCTCATAGAAAGAATATTCTTGCATATGTTTCTTGGAGGTGTCAAACTACTTAGTGTGTTAAAATCTTTGGGAATAAGTATGACACACAAATAATGTTACAGGTAGAGCTAGACAAAGTCACAGGTTTTCTTGTATTTCCTTGATTCTTCTCTTCCTGAACGATCATATTCTAGCATTGTGATTAGGCTATAAACCTTCTTTTCTATTTAAAGCTTTTTTTTTGGGGTTAAATTGACCTTTTGTTTTTCTTTTTTCTTTGGTTAAACCAATTTCAAGGCTAACACTTTAAGACGTGAGATTAAACTTTTTAAGTGAAGGAATAGATTTTAGAGAGATGATTGGTCACGGCTAAGGAGATCTTGTCAGTTCCTGCTCGGGTTCTGTCAAAATTTGATCTTGGGATTTAGCAGCAAGGATAAAAATTTGATAGCAATGTGCTTGGTTTGGTACATCTTTTGGATTTATATTGGCTGCTGTGTCTTTTAGGATTTTATTTTCCTCCATTGTCCTAGGATTTGATGTGTGGTATTTTTCAGAATTACAAGACAGATGTCCAAAGAGATTGAAATGGGATTATTTCATTCCCTTTACCTTTTAGTTTAGTAATTAGAGAAATTTTTCTTGCTTATGCCATCTGTTTACTGCATCAGCATCTATAAATTGTCACCAGAAAGTAATTGTGTGTAAATTATGTTGGGAGATAAAGTTAAAGAATATAGAAATTTTGATCTGTGAAAAGTGATCGATAATCAGGAAATGGAGTATGGTTCAGAAGTGCTTATTGTACTTTTGCTGAGGAAGATTTTTCTGATCAATTAGGTGCGTGTTGCGTGTAGTTTTTTACCAGACCATCTGTTCTACCTGATCAGGTGAAATTGTTAGGCTTTCATAGGTAACCTGATTGATTCTCACAAGTACATTGGTTTCCTTTAAAATTATGGTAA